TACTATATATATATATATATATATATATATATATGTATATATATATATATACTTGTAATAACGTCTGGCCAGATTATTCTAACCGATTTAGTGGTTGTGAATGCTTTTTTAATATACCCTATCCACGAAATGTTTTTAGATATGTATGATATAGAGATATGCCGTTATTTTATTGTTAGTAAAATCTTGTGTAAACAGCAATTAAGCCTCTGGCTGCCAGGAGGGATTTGCTGTAATGCATTTCAACAATTGTATTGACTACATATAACATTATTATTAATATGATATTCTGGTCCCCGTTTTTAGCCGTGCTTCACTTATTGGGTCGTAAGAAATAGTCCGAACTTTCCATAAGTCACGCTTGTAGGGGGCATGATGTGTTCGACCGTTATGCCACAGCAAGTAAATTTTATGGATGACATGCTCCACAGATTCCAAATCTAATGCGAGCGGGCGACAAAAAAACAAGGCGGGCTGAAAAAACAAGGTTCTTACATTTTGAAATTTTGACTTAATCATTGTACAAATGGTTTTAATTCAATGGGAACATCACACATACACAGCCAACATCACATATCACTGTATCAAAGTAAGAAACAAAACATAAAATCAGAGCCTTGTCTTGTCTCCTCTCTTTGTATTTATCTGCAATCCACCTTCCGGCGTGGCAACAGACATCTTTGCCCATTTTCGGCATGGTGACCACTGTCAGAAGACAACAAAAGTTCTTGTTTTTTTTTTCCAAAATCAGGCGAAAATTAATGGCGCGGGCTGATGTCATCCATAAATACTTGCTGTGGCCTTAGGGAGAATAGATACGGTTAAGGCCTATTCAGGAAACATAATGAAGTGAATTTGTTATGCGATGACTCAGTACATAGAAATTACCACGACTTCTTGGCACCTGAGATAACTTGTGTTAAACAGAGAGACATCAGATACCATCGTTTTCTTCTCTCCTGGCGAGTTTTCATTAGCTATCGTTAACCTTCGCCCTGCTGACGTAGCCTTTAGGCACCTAATTTGCATTAGTTACAGGCTTATGTTACAGGGAGAAGGTTAAGAATTCCTTATTTATTTTGATAATGACAGCCAACTACCTGACCCAATCTTCGAGTTCAGGGTCGTCTTTTATACATGGCTGGGAACTTTTTACGGGCTGCAAGTTTTAATCACTAGTCCTAATTATCTGCTTACAACTTGTCCACCAAAAAGTCTTAAAGGTGATTTAAGGGAATATTTGGACAGGGTTAACTATCTTCTTTGACAATCAACTGATACAGTCAAACTATGTAAGAGAAGGCAAGAAAAGATAACAACTGTTAACGGGATCCGGGAGCGGCCGCCGTGATACTCAAGGCTCCAGACGGCTGTTTCCCATCCCTTATTCCAGAGGACCGATGGCTGCGCATGATACGAGTACATAGGATACTACTTTGTCAGATTATTTTCAAGTTCATCTGTGTTGGTAGTAATCATAGTAAAAAGTTGAACTTTATTCCAACTCACAGTTTACAGAGAGATCAAATTTTCAGCGACCACTGTCGCCTTAATCAGGATAATTAATGACCAATCACTTCCCAACGTGATCTCGCGAGAGCTACTGTTTACAAACACGTGACCTTATTAAGATGACAGTGGTCGCTGAAAAGTTTATCCCTCTGTAAACTGTGTTTGAATATAGTTCAACTTTTTGCTATATATACTTTGTAAGATATTGCAAGATGAGCCTGACGCCTTAAACTTAAATTAGCCAGGATTTATATCTACGGCATGGAAATATATTACGAACGGAATTGTAAACGATTTCAGAATGGCAGCTAAACAATGTAGGCTCGTCGCTGTGCCTCCTGTCTTTTCTGAATGAAGTGTTCGTGCAGTACTCTTGCCTTGTAATGTGTCCCAGCCCGGGATCATGGTTTAGAAAATAGTAGCGGATATTTTATTTTCACAGATTGGAGACACACATTGTAAACAAACGGATCGTAGTGGTAACACGATAGTAGTAGGCATTCGTTGGTCTTAAAAGACCACGAAGTACTTTATTCTACACCCTGTACTTAGTCTTAGTTTTGCGTAAACATGATAAAATGGCAGTGAATAGAAGAGTGAATAGTAGCAAGACAGCACTTATCACTTATGACCCTCGCTCTGCCGGAGGGTCGATCGTCGTTAAATCAGACACCGTACCAGCCCCACATGGCAAAGTCGGCAGGGGGCGTAGCACAGTTTGGCCTTAATGCTATCTTTGCGGACGATGCCAACTGTTTTAGAAGAATTACTTCCATTTTTTGATAGTATTAGATTCCTGTCAGACTTGAACCGTCCTGTAGCCCTGAGGGTAGCCTGGCAGATGGAACTTCACCCTTCTAAATGTACAGTGATCAGTATTACACGTAAACCATCCCAGTTCAATACTCTTAGAGCTATGGAAATCTATGCTAAAACACTAGAAACAAGCACTTTAAAACACAGTTACCTTTATTTCAAACCTCAAGTCTTTACCCCCACTGGAAAGCTGGATTTGTCAGGTGTCTTTTGGTACAAAAAGTGGAAGTTCAACTCCGTGGTTTTAATGAGCTACAGCTAAAATATTGAAATGATACCAGGATATCACCCCCTGGGAAAGTGGGACAGTCCAAATAGATCACAAGTATTTAGAGGTCAATGACAGGTCAAACCATGTAAAAGGTCACACTTTTTGGCCATATTTTAAAAATATACATTCTTCTGTCCTTCTTACCAGAAAACTAGGCCTTTCTGAGCAAAATTTGCCCAGGAAAAAATATTATCTAAAAAATAAGTATCAAAATATATCGGTGGTCCCTCCCCTGTTGCCTCCCTCCGGAGTAAGGGTAAGTAAGTCTTTGGGAGCTCCCAACCTTTGGTCCGGTTTAACTTGGCACCTTCCAACTGTATGTGCACCGGTTCCTTAATCTTCCTGTGTGGGTTATGAGACTCTTGAGGCCCAGATATGACCTTGACCACAAGTATGCGGAAACGTACACATACAGACAGAAACACAGACAGAAAGACAGGCGGAAAATAACTACATTTTCATGTAGGCAATAATATTCTAGCTTGTGTACGGAATGTCACTATAAGTATGGAGCATGTGACAGCCGAGAAGTCATCTTTGTGGAGGAGAGCCATCCCTAGCCTCCAACAGGAGAGTAATTTCCAAACGCTCCGCATATTATTAATGCAATGATAGTTTGGACAGCAAGTAAAACCATTTTAGACAAGCTAGGAAGTCTCGTTCCTGTCAACTGCTTTCAAGCTGAAGTAAAAAAATATATATTATGACGAGCTGTAGCAATAACTATAACGAATGAAATGTAGGAAAGCTGGGAGTAAAACGTGAAGTTTCTACTATACTAGACTGGTGTAAACAAACTATTATCTGTTCAACCTTTTCACAAGGACGTTTAGCAAGCGTGTTTACGACGATTATGTAAATATTAATAACGTTAATTCTACGTAAGCCATCAATAAATGCAAACAATAAAACCCTGAAAAACGTTCGTGTAAAGAAATAGTCACGTTTTGTAATGCTAAGTTAATTTCTTTTCAAAGCATATCTCGGTATCAAATGAAGTTTTCAGGGCCTTCTATGATTTGTCTCCACTGTTCAAAGTATCACGAGTTGTTCTCTGTTCGCAAGCCTCGCTTACATCGCCTGTCGCCTGGCCAGACGTTATAACGTGTTTTTGCAGCACAGAAGCCTGACAAGTGGCATCATGTCAGGAGGACAGCAGCATTCCCGGACTGATACTGGAGGTAGCGATTGTTTTGCCTGATTTTCTATTCTATTCTATTTGAGAACGATGGAATGATCGATGCTAATGATATTATACTATTTTTAAAGACCAGGCTTGTACTATATAAGCACCGAATAACTTTGGCTAACGTAAACTACCAGACCTCATTCTATCCCTGACTACCGTGGTGATAACATGGGCACAGGGCTGGCGGTGACTAAGACTCTTCAAGACACTTTGGGTTTGAAACATATTGATAACAGATAAGGAATTCATGTACACCTGTACATACAAAAATTAGCTTCATCTAACCCAGATATCTAAAGTACTGTAATGACAACACTGTCTTGCCAAGGTTTGCCTGGTACTGTGATAGAGATTGACCGGCAGTTACTTGTACAGTTCTAACAGAGTTCCTGGGTCTACGTATACATGTATACTGTTTTCTCATACTACCAACTTGACACCACAATTACAAGCCATATTTATAGACACAGCGACTGGTACTGTCAAAGCTAATTCAGTTGTGAGGTTGACATTTTACATGTAGACATCTACAATTAGACACTTTGATAAAGACTACAAGGTTGGTTTTACAGAAACTGAATGTTGCAGGTAATATTGTCTTCATAATTTGACGAAGTTACAACTATCCTGATCATTTGCATGGTTTGATATTGTTACTTTGAAAGCAGTGTAGAAAAATATCCAAAAAAAGTGACCGTTATGATGCTTATCTGTCCATGCTTTTTGTTTCTGGGACAGAGACAGTCTGGGATGTTTATGTGTTTATGTATTTATTGGGGGTCAATTTAGTATTCAAGCTGCTGGAGAAGCCACAGTAGGGAGTACTTCTTATCGCGTTGTTCTGGGCACCAAAGTCTCCAGGTTAAATGTTTTGTAGAACTGGTTTAAGAAGAAAGGCACTCGTTAAGGAGTTATAACTCATAACTAGTGTACTAGTAACTTTCGATTACTACGCAGGTTGTTTAAACCGTGAGTAAGCCGTTCAGCAGTTTTGTATAATTGTATCTGTTTTTTTATTGATAACATTTAGATTAGAAGGCTAAAAAAGCTTGCTGTGTTTATTTCTCTTCTAATGACGGAAAAAATGCCTACGGATTTCACAAAAGCTGTCAAATAAAGAAAACAAGTAGCATAGAACAAAGAACAAAAGAAGAGTACGTTATAACAATTTTCCATACATTTTCTGGAGACTGGCACAGCCATTTTGATTTTTTATGAAAAAATTGAATGCCATAGGAATCATAAAAAGAGAAGACATCATTTAGGCGTATTAAATGTTGACAGATCTGGTTACTACAAAATACTACTATTCGTCATATTTAGCTGACATGTATATTTTCTCAGCTTGATTGATACATGAATTACTAGATTCTGACTTTATTGAAATTGCAACAATGCAATACACGCGGAACAGAGGCAGCTGTTGCTGGCGTTATGTCCAACACATAGAAACGAATACTGGGCAGACAATACTCATTTTCGCTTGAGTCCAGTGGGGAAAGTCGTGTTAAGTGCCTTTCCCGAGGGCACAAGATCGGCGGCATGTCAGGACTCGAACTCGGGACCTCTTGATTCGCGGTTGGCACGTGCCGTTGTGCTACACGACCCAACCATTTACTAGATTCTAAAGTTAAATAGAGGAATTATTAGGTTTTATACGTAGACGGTTTTAATGATGATATAAATACCACACAGGCACCACGCCCATGCAGCAGCCCCAGACGGATTGGAGGTCACTTGCGGACGCAGGTGCGAATGTGCCCAACCCTTTGTACGTCACTAGAGCAGGTAAACCATTTTATCTAACAGATCGATTTTATGCCTTTCTTAAAACCCTTGTCCTGCGGGACGCATATACAGATTCTTTATTGACACAACAAAAAAGTACAGAGACTTTTGCATGGTCTTAACTAAAGATATAACAAAGCTAACTAAAGATCTAACAAAGCTAAATACATGTGTGGATAACGTCATCTTACGTACAGAGTATATGTATGATGTAACAATTAAGGTTAACTATTCTCTAACATGTGTTCTCTAAGATCGAAACATTCTTTAATGTATTTTCCTATTTGAATACTGTATTGGTTATCTCCCCTGAGAATGTAGTTGCATTTATCTATAGGATCTAACGTATTTAAATCAATTGAACAAGCGGAAAGAAAGGTGAACAGCAATAGGCGCTTATCATTGTATAGTGTACAATCCATTATAAAATGGTGCTCATTTTCAATCATGTTTGGACAAAATGGACAGAACCTTTGG